CATTGCCATGGTAACTAAATTTGACACACCACTACTCCCTATCCTACTGCATGACAAACACTCACGCCGACACACACATTGCACGTTTCTGACAGCACTGCTGCGGCCGCGGGAAAACAAGGGAAGCTTCCACAAGTGGCCCGTCTCTCCCCCGTCTCGCTGCCTGGCATGCCATCGTTTGCAATAACAAGTCAAAGACTTTCAAAGCTGAACAAGTGAAGAGGAGAATAATTGGAAGGAACGATAGAGTGGCTAAGGGAGAGTCAGGAGAGGAGGCCTCCCGATTCATCTTTAAAGACACTCCTTATTGCATCTTTAATAATTTTCCTCGATGTGCTGGGAAGACTCGACAGTTCACTTCCACAACTCTTGAATTCACACCCTACTGAGGCAAGTCGCTCACGAGGCTCACGCTGGGCTTTCTTCTCCAGGCCTCGTCGCCTTCTTAACTCTTCTGTTTTATCACTCCTCATTTCCATCCCTGCTAGGCTCACGGAGTCAGGCTGCCGAAGACTTGCAGATGTATATGGATGCTAACACGCTCTGCAAATGTTTTAAGAGACAAGGGGATATGACAAAGCTTCGGCTCATATTAAGTCTTACTGCAACTTTGTTACACCACATCTTGGCTGAAAGTGTCCCACGGTTAGTCAGTTCTCTGAAACTGTTAATGAAACTGTTTCGTAATCCAGATGAAAGCAGTAGAAGTTAGCATCGTACATTTTAAAGAGAGGGGAACTTAAAGAGAGTAAGTGTTGCTCTTATGGTGTGAAGAGAAATGCTTGGAATTCCTGGGGGGGAGGTGGGACTCGAGTAAATAGCTCATTTTTGTCTGGCTACAAGAAGAGCTGTTAGCATATCTTCAGATACAGAAACCAACATCAGCTCCAAAGCCTTAAATCACAATTTGAGAATTAAACTATTCTGTTCATTTTATAAAAATATCCAAGTTTCCAGGAACTCGAAGAGAAATTGGACAATGTGTGTGGGCGGTGGTATCTTTGCTACTGCTACCGCCATTTATACACGTGTGCTCCACAGCTACAGCTATTCTAACTTTTATCCCTGTAGTGAAATGATTTTATAATTGCTTTTTGCATATTTCCCCAAGTAAAGGTCACTAAAATGATATTAAGTAGATGATTAACTGAATTTATTTAGGTAAAAATACAGATAACATAAACATACATTTTATACAGGTGGAATTTCTGTTCCTGTCCTTTTAAAGGATTTTAAAGGATTACTGTTGCCAGTATAACAGTACTGCTTTTCACTATAGAAATGTCACCAACTGACACTGTTTGAGTCAAAAAAGAAATTTTACTGTAGGAACAATCATAATTATACAAGTAATTGTGTTACTGAAGCTTAATTAATCATAGCTCATTAAAAGCAGATAGCTACCATAACGTGTTTAATATAGGTTTCACTAATCTCTAGTGTTTCGTTAACGTTCCTGTGTTCATTTCTGGTGTCCTTCGTACATACAAGTGCAAAAACATCCAACTTTGTCAAATGCATACACTAATATATCCTCTAATCCTGGATACTCTGCTGATAACTGAGCAGAACTAAGAGCTACAGAGACCAGAGTCCTGCTAAGCCTCACACTCTCTCTCCACTTTTCCTGCAGGCAAATGGTGAAATTTAGAAACTTTAAGAGAGTTGAGAGTGAAAAAGCTCAAATACAGGAAAGCAGTGAGGGACACTTGAGTCATGAACTATTTAGTCCCATCACACATG